GCTGGATCTACTGAATGCCAGGCATTGTGTGGGTGTCCTGCAATAGCCATTTGACCACAATGACCCTGCAAAGTAGCCATTATGCTTGGTCCCACCCCACCCCACCACTGGCAGCTGGGAGAGACTAGCCTGAACAGTCCAATCTGGCTCCAAAATCCACACTTCTTCTTTACATTCTGTTGCCACCTCCATGTTCAAAAAGATGTCACCACTTGCCTGACAAACGGAGCTGAGTCACCAATTCACACAGATGCAGCAAGGCAGAAAATACAAGATCCTCTATTCAGAGCAATTTAGCCAGGAAAAGCAAACTATGTTCCCAGCAAGCATCCTGTGTTCTGCCAATGGAAAATGAGGACAGAATGCACCTGAATCTAGCACCAACCAAGAGGCTGTGTCTTCATTCTTGTCACCAACTGATTAAGGGCCATCTCAATGGCCAGATGCCAGAAATCTTAAAAGCCATCCACCTGCCACAAATTATTGCTAAACCAACACAAAAGACTTTATACTCTCTACTGACACTACCAAAAAGCAAATGAGCTCTGCAATGTAGACTAGGCCAAGAGATCTGGAACAAACTTTAGCTGCCACCCAACTAGTAGCTTTCTATCTGGTCCATTTCACATTAATCCTATCAAATCACCAAGATAGGATCCCCTCTGCCAATGAGCAGAATGTTCCTAATGGGTCCTTGAATTCAAGGTTTAGCAAATCCCAGCTGCCAGAAAGCTCAAAGCTTTCTGCTTCCTCCTCGGGTAACAAGGCACAGGCTAACTCAGCCATCATCTCATTGATGGTGTGCTGCGTCACTCTACCTCCCCAAGCGGGTCAGAACCAAGGGCTCGGAGCTGGAAGACACTGTCCACAGGGGCCACAATTAGGTTCTTTGGAATATGGTTTGACTTTTAAAACTACCCACAGAGACTTGAAAGATTTCATTAGTAGTTTTTTTGTGGGTTTTTTTTTTTTTTGCCACAGAGGTATTTGCTGTAACTGGATCTGGCATCTATGAAGAGATGTTTCTAGGGACTCTGATAGTCACAAAAAAAGCACAAAGAAAATGAAGAACTTAAGGCAACCCTTTCCCATGAGGGAAGGGAAAAGATCTAAGAGGTGGAGGCTTTTATTAAGTGCTAGATGACTAGCAAGGACCAGTATGAAATTGTTCTCCACTCAGTTGTGTCAATCTACAAATGTTAAGGGTCACATGCTCATCTCTAACATGCCAGCAATAAATGGCCAGAAAAGCCTGGTTTCCACATGTGCAAAACTATTTTCCCTTGGACTAAGGCAAAAGCAAAAGGAATAATGCTTCAAACAGCTACTTCTACTTTAAGACAATTCTGGCTTGTCAAGAATCAAAAATGTAAACCTTCAAAGCAAATCCAAGGCCTATCAGACTGGTAATGGAAAAACCTTTAGGAGACTCTTCCCCACCCCTACGCTCTTTGGAAGAGTATATTTGAAGGGAATAAAAAACAAAGGGTATGATGCTATCTATATTTTCCTGTTCACAACTGTTTCTACTAGGAGATTTTGATTTACTTTCATATAAATTAGAACTTGCACCCAGAGAAAACAAAAACTTAAAAGGTTACAGGTATCTAAGATTTGCTCTTAAATCAGGGATTCTGAGTGACACCCTTTTGTTTTTCTGTTTTTCTTTTGCAACATCCATTAATTTCATTTTTAATTAACATTAGTACATCAGTTTAGGGGGTTTACCAAAAAAAAAAAAAGTAATACTGTGACATTTCAAAATGAAAGATTACCAAAATGCAAGTTTAACTACTGGGGCTTTTTGGACTTGACAGATGAGAGTCCTTTGAGTACAAAAACAAAAAAAATAAATAAACCTTTGTGTAATTTAGCTTGAGAGCTTTTTAACCATTTGGAGATAGTTTCAAATTCAGCAAATTGGTTTAGAAAAAGTTTTGGACTTAGTAAGCATTTTTCTACAATGAAGTACCCCTAAAAACTTGGATCATCAGTTACTGTTCAGTTTTGGCTCTCAGCTCCCAGAGTATGAAATTTACAAAGAATGGTACAATTCCTGTTCCGCTGACCCAGTGCACTGTATTGTGTTAGATTTGTGCTTCAGACTTTTTTCTTTCTTTGCAGGATATGGTATGTTCCAGAAACTTCCTCCTCAAACAACTGATCTTACACACTTAAGACCGCCACTGCCTGGCAGTTGTGACCATTTTATGAGGAAGAACAAAACAAGTTCTGCAGTTTGCAGGTTTCCTCATTAAAGTGTAAGTGAGCATAGTTTGTCCTGAGAATGGAAGGGAAAAAAAAAAAGCAAGCAGGGTCTTTTGGAGAGGACCAGGGCAATGTGTTAGAAAAGACTTCTCTAACAAAGTATGTCAGGGATCAAAAGTAGGCCAGAGGAAAGGGGAACTTCAACGTGTTTTTTTGTCTTTTAAACGATAAAACTTATGCTTGTAAAACACATCAGAAGTACAATGTTTGGTTCTGCAAGTCATTTTTGTTGTTTTTTTGTTCTTTGTACATGTAGGATGGAGTGCTGGGGACTGCAGGTGTTGTCCCCAACATGACTGGGCGTGTAACACATTTGTATCAACTTCTCATGGTCTGGGTTGGGCATGTGCTTCCGAACAAAGAACAGTGGAGACAGGCAGGCAGACTGGGGCTTGACAGTTTACAGATTTTTGTGCTTAAAACAGTACTTTACAAATGACTTGCTCAATTTAAACGTCCATCACCATTAGACATTGGAGTAAAAGGAGGAAGTTGGATCTATTTGAACCACCTTTTTTTTGGGGGGGGGGACTTTTAACTTGAATGTAGGTATCATAAACCAAATTCAGTAAGACTGTCTCCTACACATGGACTTGAAGTACCCACTTTCCTCAAAGATGAAGGCTGGAGACAAAGCAATGGATTGATATGGAAAGAGGGTCTGAAAACACAGGAGACTTTTGTCATGTTACAGTAACACTTTTTTTTTGAGCAAACTGTGTACATCAATTTTAAAAATTAAACATTGCAAGGATGTGCAAGTCTAAAAGGGCTCAACAGGGTTAGAATCCTGATTTGAACATATAAATTCACTCTCTCAAGTATCATTTTGGTCTAAAGGCGAGGAGGGAAGCAGGCAGGAAATGGACAAAAAGAGGGAGATAACTGAATTACTCAATAAAAGAGGCTACTTACCATCCCAACCCATTGTAAGACATACACTTCTGACATAAGAGAACTCCTTAGAGGTCGAATAAAGCGTGTAAGCACCTTTTGAGTATTGCACCTGCCCAACAAGGGCTTAGCGAACAGACCTTTGCTAATCTGTTTATTTCCTTGAACTGGATTCAGGCTGCATAGGGCTGCGATTCCCAGGACGATACATTTAATTAAAACAAAACAGAAAAAAAAAATTTTTTTTTGTAAAGCTCACCAAACCGCTGCACCTGTGTCTCTGAATGTGGGTGGCATTTCTTTTAAAAGGCAAAGTATGGTCTGTGAAGGAGAAAGGGGAAAAGGGAGGTGGGGGTGGGGGAGAAGGGGCTGTGGAGCAAAGAGGAGAGCCCTGGTTGAGACACCCCCCCCCATCTAAGAGTGAGTGGGCTGGGGGGACAGGCTGGGCCAGGGCAGCAGCCATCTGTCCAGCGCCTTCTCTTCCCCTCCCAGCCCCCACTACCTTCAAGACTGCCTTTCCTGCTTGCCGGCCGAAACCCACCTTCCACTTTCAAACCCTCTCCGGCCACCACTTCCTCTGCCCTACCAGAAAGAGCTAGGCGAGCCTTGCACACCCCCAAAATCTTCTGTCCTAGCAAGGGAAACAAGGCCTCCAATTTCATCCGGGAACGTGCCGGGTTGGCCCCATTATCGCCCGCCAAGAAGGGCGTGGGGAGAATCCATTTCGCACTTAATAAAAGGGCAGGAGGCGCCCCCTTTCACGCTCTGCCAAATCACTAAGAAAGGGATGGAGCCCCTTCTTACCCCGAAAGGGGCGAACCCCAGGAGACATGGGGAGGGGCACACATTCCTCTTCCCAGTAAGGCAAGGAAACCAGACCTCACCCCGCAGAAACTAAGTCTGGGGGGGGGGCAGCGTGGGGGAAGGCCATCCCGCGCGGTCACCTACCTACGAAAACCAAGAGAACCCCGTCTCTCCTACGGAAAAACGTGGGGAAGGGTATGCTCCCCCCCAACCCCAAAGAGACAAGGGGCTTCTTCCATCAGAAGGGCTAAAGATGGAACCCCTCCACCATTCTGCCTTCTAGGGTGAACTTAGTTAACACCTCCCGCCAAAAAGAAAAAGGAAAAAAAAAAGTGCCTCGGAGCCCCATCTTCTGAGGCTCATCCCTCCCCCACCCCGGCGAGGGCAGAGGAAAGGCTGAGCGAACCCCCACTTTTTGTCTAAAAGAAAAAAAAAAGCTCAACTACTTCTCCGATTAGAAGCAGGGCACACCTCCCCCCCAGGAGAAAGGATACTGCCAGGGGCGGGGGGACCCCCACACACACTCCACACCCCTAAGAGAGCGGGGGCTGCTGCTCGAGATCACCCCAAAACAGGGTCCGGGGGGCCCCTCCCCCAGTCCCTTCCCCGAAGCCAGGCGCGGCGGGCAGGCGGGTCGGCGGCGGCCGGGTCCGGGCGCAGGGGCGGCCGGGACCCCCGTGGGCCTCCGCAGCCCCCTCCCCCGGCGCCCCTTCCCCAGGGCGGACGGGCGAGCGCGGGGGGTCCGGGGGGCGCCTCCTCACCTTCCCCTCAGCATGGCGCCCAAAAAAGACAGAGCGAGAGCGAGGGAGAGCGGGCGAGCGCCGCGAGGGGGGGGAAACGCATGAGGCCGGGAGAGAAAGCAAGCGAGAAAGAGCGAGAGAGCGAGCGAGCGAGAGACACCCACCGACCCCGCCCTTCCTCCTCCTCCTCCTCCTCCTCCGCGGCCCGGCCCAACATGGCGGCCGCCCCCCTTCCTCCTCCTCCTCCTCCTCCTCCCCCCGGGGACGCCGTCCCGGCCCGGCCGGGGGCCTGACCTGTCGTCAGGGAGCGGGAGGCAGTGGTGGAGGAGGTGCGGGGTGGCCGGGCGGGCTTCGGGGGAACACGGAGGAGGCGAAGGCGTTGATGGCGGCGGCGGTGGCGATGGCGGCGGCGGCGACTCTGATGGCGGCGGCGGGGGGGTCCCGGGCGCGGCCTCCATCGTTCCTTGGGGGGGGAGGGGATGTTAATGCACGAAAAAGGACTGCTTGGGCGTGGCGGGAGGGGCACACTGGGGCTCCGGATGGCAACGGGCCGTATTATTACTATTATTAATTATTATTATTTCCTTTTTTTTTCTTTCTCTTTGCGGTTTCGGAATCACCTTGGCGCCGACCTCCGCGTAGGCCGCGCGGCCTAGGCCCCGGCGGGCCGCTCGCCGCCTGCTTTCTCCGCTGCCCGCCCCCGGCGGACACTCGTTCCCGGGCGCGGGACCCTCGTGGGGCGGGAGCCCCGCTCGACACTCACACACGCACACACACAGGCACGCCTGCGGGCCCCGGAAGTCCGGGGAGGGAAACTGGGACACTAGTAGGTGGTTGGGTGTAATGAGCGCGGGCCGCGCGCAATGGAGCAAAAGCGAAGGGGAAAGGGGGGGAGGCGAGGGGAAGAGAACCAGCCGGAGGAGAGAGGTCTAAAAAAATAAAAATAAAAAGATTTCAGGGGGGAGAGAGGGGAACGGGCCGCGAAGACGGGCCGACTGTCTCTATCTGTCTGCCTTAGGTGCCCAAGCTGTCCGGCCCCGCCGCGGTCAGGAATTCACACAAAATGGCGGCAGGGCCAGCACAAGCCGAGAGGCTGAGACAGGAGGAAGGGCGAAGGGGGGAGGCGGCGGAGAGGCGGGAGGGGTCACGTGATCCCGAGGGGGCCGGACGCCGACGGAAACAGCCGAAAGCCTCACGGGCTGGGGGGGGTAGAGGGGGGGCGCGCCTGGAGGAACCGGAAGCAGCCGAAGGGCGGCGGAAAAAGCCGGAAGCCGCTGAGCAGCCGGGAAGAGCCGAAGCAGGGAGGGGGGGGAGTGGGGGGGAGCCACCGAGGCACGTGAGACCAAAGGGTGGGGTAGGGGTGGAAAGAACCAAAGTGCTGATGGGCGGTGGGACTAGGAAAGAAAAGAAGGATGGGGGAGCCGTGAGTAGCCTAAGAAACAGGGCCGGACTAGAAGGGACCCCCTCCGCCCCTCCCCCGAACTGAAATACTCCGGAAATAGCCGAAGAGGGCGCAGCCCTGGGCCGCAGGAGGCGGAAGTAGCCGGAAGAGCTCGAGCCGGGGTGAGAGGGACTCAGCGAGAGTGAGCTGCACGGGCGGGGCGGCCCAGGCCATCGTTCACTGCGCCTACAATGACTTCGGGGAACTCGGCGGAGAGCAAGCGCGGGAGAACCGAAAACTGCTAGCTTGAAGGAAGGCGGGAAGAGCCCAAAGTTTTAGGTGGGAGAGTGGGAGGGGGGGGAAAATAATTAACCGAAAGCTGGAGATCAGGTCCTTGGAGTCGGAGGTTTCCGTAGAGGGGCTGGAGCAGAGGCGGGCCGGAGATGACGTCACTAGGTAACTCGCCCGGTGACGTCACCCGTGGGGGAAAAATGGGGCGGGGCCTGCTGGTCTCCTCCAAGTGGGAACCGTGATTTCGGTTCCTAAACCGCGGTACAAACAAGATCTTCGTAACTCTCCCCTACCGATCTAAAAGGAGGTGATGTTCCAACTTTGTAGGTCGAGACGGGCTGGAGTCTGAACTAGCTCAAGGTTCTGGTAAAGCAAATTTTAGTGGGGGTTTTTCCCCTTAGTTTTATGTAGTGAGTACATTGCTTGTCGAACTTGTCGCCCCCTCCCTCATTTTTCTCCCACTTAACCTTTCCCCTAGTAGAGGAAGTTTTAAAAGTCAAGGTTGGTACTCCATTGCCCCCTAGCAAAATGGTTCAAATCTGTGTACAGCAAAGGATGATACTGATCAAGACGCGTCCTATTCAGAAACAGGTTCACTTGCAACCCGTTTGTACAACTACTTAAAGATAATAAAAATATAGCTTAAAAAATCTATGCCAAGCAAATTGTTTATTTCCGACCCACATGAGGGCTGGGAACACCCAAGTTCCAGGAAAACAGAAAACTTAGGGCATGAAGGGGAAGTCTGGAAATGGGCTGGGTGACCTCCTGGTGGGTCTTGATATAAACTGGGGGGAGGGGGGTGGAGGGGTGAGAAGAGAGGAAGTCCCAAACCAATGAGACACACAAGTTGTAAGGGGATGTAATTTACAAACTTCTTGAGGGAAGAAATAAACATACTTGGTAATATTTCTGATAAAAATGCTTAAACTTTGTTGCCACCAAACTTCTGGAAAACTCGTGTCTAAGATAGTTGAAACAGCTGAAGAGTTTGATTATAAGTCTCTTAATCTTTAACCAGAGTGTCTTCCTGGTGCTTATTTGAGTAAGCCTTCCAACTGGCCTACAAAGAACCTTATGTTTGCAATATTGGAGTTAAAATGTTGGAAATGGCTTATAATTAAGTTGTCCAAAAACCTTACCAAGAGCTAATAGTGCAGGATCGTGGGGAGAGAAAGGAAAAACTCTAGAATGAGCTGGACTCTGGTGGCTCACACCTGTAATCCTAGGTACTCAGGAGGCCAAGATTGGAGGATTGTGGTTTGTTGAAGACAGCCCAGGAATGAAAGTCTTATCTCCAGTGAACCACCAGAAAACTGAAAGTGGTGAAACACTAGCCTTAAGCAAAAAGAACTTAGAAACAGTGCCTCAGGCCCAAGTTCAAGCCAAAAAACAAACACCTGAGTGGGTCATGTGTAAATAGGAGGGTTGCTGTGTTCCCTCCAGGCATCTTGAGTTTCTGACCCACTATTTTTTGTTATAGATGAATTAACACCAGCTACCTAGACCACTTGGGAGAGTAGCTGTCCGTTTTTGTTTTTGTTTTCCTTGTTAGCCCTTTTTGAGACTGGATCCTCACTGTGAGGTCAGGCTAACTACTTCCAATTTATGATCCTCCTGCCTCAATCTTCTAAGTGCTGGGATTACAAGTGTGTGCTTACCACACTGAGTTTATTTTATTTTTACTCTGGTGGTTCTGGGCTTTAAACTGAGGACCTGATGTTTTCTAGGCAGGAGCTCTACTGTTAGGATACATCACGACCATCCCAGGGGACGGCCACACAAGGGCAGGCAGGCACAGGAGAAAGATTATTATAAGGTTTATTAGAGAGGCCATATCTACCCCAGAAGAGGGAGCAATATGGCATCTGCCCCTATCCAGGTGGGTATCCCTTGAGGTAGTAGCATCCCACAGGTAGGTATGTGTTGGAGAGAGAAAGTGGCCAGCTGTATCCTGAGAACTCTCAGGCAGGGAGGGGCTCAGGTCTGGGTGGAGCTGAGGACTGGACATAGAGATAATGCTAACATCTACTACTTCATACACAATCCTAGTCATTTTTATTTTTTTATTTTTTTGCCTCAAACCCCTCAGGTAGCCAGGCATTGGTGGCTCACACCTGTAATCCTAGCTACTCAGGAGACTGAGATGTAAGGCTCACAGTTCAAAGCCAGTCCAAGCAGGAAACTGTGAGTTTCTTATCTCCAATTAACCACCAGAAAATCTGAAGTGGTCTGGCACTGTGGCTCAAAGTGGTTGACCATAGTCTTGAGCAAAAAGTGCTCAGGGAAAGTATCCAGCCTGAAGTTCAAGCCCCATGACGATGATGACACCACCAAAAAAGCTCCTGGTAATCCTTCTGCCTTAGTCTCCATAGTAGGTGCTACACTGTGCCAGGCTGTCTTCCTCCTCCCTTTCCTTTCTTCAGTCTTTTCATGCTGTTTAAAGATTGAACTTTTAAAAATTCTTAAGAGCTGGGCACTGGTGGCTCACACCTGTAATCCTAGCTGCTCAGGAGGCTGAGACCTCAGGATGGCAGTTCAAAGCCAGCTGGGCAGGAAAAGTCTGTGAGACTCATCTCCAATAAACCACCAGAAAATGGGAAAGGGTGCTGTGGCTCAAGTAGTAGAGCGCTCACCTTGAGCTGAAGAGCTGAGGGGCAGTGCCCAGGCCCAGAGTTCAAGCCCTAGAACCAACAACAACAAAAATTCTACAAATTATATATATATATATATATATATATATATATATATATATATATATATATATATATATATATTACTCTTCATACATTATTACTTTAGTGAAAGACACTTTGGGTCCTGGCCTAGCACAGTGTTTGGGAGGCTGAGGCAGGAAGATCCCAAGTCTGAAACCACACTGGGCTACAAAGTAGAACCCTGTATCAAAAACAAAACAGGGCTGGGAAGGTGGCTCAATGATAGAGTGCTTGCCTTGCATGCATGAGGCCTTGTGTTTGATTCCTGAGCACCACAAAAGAGAAAAGGCAGAAGTGGTGCTGTGGCCCAAGTGGTAGAGCACTACCCTTGAGCTGAAGAGCTGAAGGATAGCGCCCAAGTCCAAAGTTCAAGCCCCACAACTGGCAAAAAACAAAACATTTTTTCCCTAGTTTTCAGTGGCCCTTGGGTGGTTTCTTTGTTCTGTACAAGAAAAGTTCTTTAGGGGCTGGGAAGGTGGCTCAGTGGTAGAGTGCTTGCCTTGCATGCATGAGACCCTGGGTCCTCAGCACCACATAAGCAGAAAAAACCATAAGTGGCACTGTAGCTCAAGTGGTAGAGCACTAGCCTTGAGCTGAAGAGCTGAGGGATAGCACCCAGGTCCAGTGTTTAGGCCCTACAACCGACAAAAAAAAAAAAAAGAAAGAAAAGTTCTTTAGTAAGAAGATAGTCCATTGAGAAGAAAAATAATTCCGGCACCACTGTCACCGGTACTTGCAGAGGAAAGGAGACCATTTGTCAGAGAGGCATTCCACTGAGTGGATTCCAATAGCCCAAAAGCTTTTCCTTTTCTTCCTTTCTGCTAGGTTTATCCCCACAGTGGGAGGTAAGGAACTCCAGGCTAGACAATGGATGAATGGTTGGTGTACATGGTTCAGAAGGAGATAATGTCGCCCCCTGCAGGGCATTTTGGAAATTATTATGAGAAATTAATAGGGGTTTTTAGTTGTCAACTGGTTCCCAGGGGAACAGTAATCTGTCCTGGGAATGTGGGCACGGTCCCTTAGCTTTTTCCTCTCAAGGCTTTTTCTATCTCTTGGAATACAGCTCCACTTGTCGCTTTTGAGAGTGTGTTAATTGGAGATAATTGTCTCAGACAATCCTGCCTGGGCTAGCTTTGAACCTTAATTATCCAGTCTCAGCCTCCAGAGTATCTAGGAGCGTTATGGGTGTGAACCACAAGCACCAGGCTCCAGTTAACCTCTTGAAACTTCCCTAACTGTATATAGTCCTATTCAGAAGAAACGAATTAAGATGAGAATGAAGCTGGGTACAAGTGCCTCACGCCTGTAAGTGTAAGTTCAGCTACCTGGAATTGGAGATTAAGAAGCCAGAAGTTTGAGTCCAGTCCAGCTATAAAGTTTATGAGTATTAGGTAAATTAAAGTAGGTAGGTTTAATTAGGTAGGTGATAAAGGGAACACCACTAGATATTCAAGGTAGAAGAGAAGTTTATTCCAAACTGCCTGCCCCAGTCATGCAGGGTGGAGATGGAGAGGCTTGGCTGAAAGGGGAGGGGCTAAGGTCCCACCTGGGTTTAAGTTGGGAAGGGGTGAGGAGAAGGACAAGGGAAGGTGTGGCCACAGGAGATGCAGATGTGACCTCAGGGCCTGGGACACTTCCTTAGTCTTATGGGAGATGTAACTTCGCAGGAGGGGGAGGTGACTGCCTCCAGGTGTGCCAGTTACCTAAGTGACACTGGTACTGGGCAGAGACTCAGCCAAGAGGTGGGAAGAGTCTGTCCTGCCTTCCCTGGGCAAACCTTACACTGAGATCCCCATTTCAACCAGTAAAAGTTACAGTGGCTCTTGACTCTCTTCCAGCTACACAGGAAGCTTAAATAGAGAAAAATCACAATTCAAACTACCAGGTTCTAAAGACAAGACCTTACCTGAAAAATTGAAACAAAAAAAAAGGACAGGATGTCCCTCAAGTGATGGAGTACCTATATAGCACATGTGAAGCTCGAAGTTTAAACTAATACTCTTCAAAAAGAAAAAGAGGAGCCGGGCACTGGTGGCTCATGCCTGTCATCCTAGCTACTCAGGAGGCTGAGATCTGAGGATCACGGTTCAAAGCCAGCCTGGGCAGGAAGGTCCCTGAGACTCTTTATCTCCAATAAATCACCAGAAAACCGGAAGTGGTGCTGTAGCTCAAGTGGTAGAGCGCTTACCTTGAGCTGAAGAGCTGAGGGACAGCGCCCAGGCCCAGAGTTCAAGCCCCACAAACAACAACAATAAAAAGCAATTGAAAAAGTGTCTTACAGCCCCCCCTTTTTATTGGTGCCAGTCCTGGAGCCTGAACAATCAGGGTCTGGATGCTGTCCGGGAGTCTTTTTTTTTTTTTGTCGGTCGTGGGGCTTGAACTCTGGGCCTGGGCGCTGTCCCTCAGCCCTTCAGCTCAAGGCTAGCACTCTACCACTTGAGCTACAGCGCTACTTCCGGTTTTCTGGTGGTTTATTGGAGATAGGAGTCTCACGGTCTCTCCTGCCCGGGCTGGCTTTGAACCGCGATCCTCAGATCTCAGCCTC